ACTGCTCTTAAGACATGCACACTTTCTTGTGTCAGTGAGGTGGTAAACATCCGGCTATATTAAAGGGAATGCTCCGCATTTGGATATATTGAAACGAGCATCAGATATGATGAAATCAGCTCACAAATAACTTAACTTCGCGTACTTTGAAGTGGAAAAGACTTCTCTAAACGACATTGTGTCTCATTTTAGCATACACGCTGCTCAGTATGTCATTGATTGAATCATGGAACGTTCGTATGACAGCACTGCCTTTTAGTTTTCAATATCCCTAGAAGTGGCCCGTAGTGGTGCTGGATGTGTGCCGAACCAAATAGCGTTAAGCACCCGTGTTTTGGTCCTTTCTCGTGGTGTTGTTGCATAATTATCCATGAGTTTAAGATGCTTAACTAAATTGACATGCTCGGCTATTGCACAATTTCTAAGTTACTTGATTACATAAGTTGTTCAGTGCATTTGCGAGGAGCATTATTCACCTAGATAAGACAGTAGCAATAGCCCTTTTCCTCAGATAAAAACCAGGAGAATTGAGATATAGGCGGGTTGATATTTCGGCAACATGCCTTTATCGAAACAATAGCCGAAGTGAATTCACTTCTGCCATTGTTTAATAACTGCATGTTGCTGAAATACCTAGCCATCTACATCTGTATCCTCCCGGCCTTTCTCCGAGGAATAAGACTGTTGCTACTGTCGTATTTATTCGATGACAAGTCTAATTACCGTAATAAATAGGAAGAATGTATAACTTCTTGCATTATGTTGGCCAAAGCGTAATCAGTGTTGGGCATTCGAGCCTGTTATTCGCTTTCTTGCTTCCTCCTGCGTCATCGTGACGTCCCATTTATCCGGGGCGGGCTGCATGTGCCAGCCATGGGTGGCCGAGAGGCACCCTGGGGAGAGGGACCCAACGGGGCGCCCAGCGCACGCACCATGGGGCCCTGAGCGGGTTACAGCGGGGCAGTTGCCCCCCCCCCCCCCCCAGGCGCATGTAGTCCTGCCCCACCGTTTTCCGCTCTCCGGCATTCCATAGTCCCGAAATGATCATTTCTGGTCGAAGGGACCCTAATTCATACAATCACATCACCGAGTTCGAATCATGCATAGCTTGCACAATATCAATTGAGATCCAGTCCACGGTCTTTTATCTGGAAATCGTGCTCGCAAATGCCAGATATGAACAGCTCGACAATTGTGTTACATGACCTTGAACGCCGCATGTCCAGTGCAATAGCAGGATGAACGACGTTCTTATGGCGTGATGGAAGGTGGGCAAGTGCCTGTTGCCGAGAAGTTGATGGTTTGAAGTCTGAACCAGTGCGTCACACGATCATAGGATGCTTCCATTCCGAAAGACAAAAAGTGCGGCTCGAAAGGAGCCACTGTGGTAAACGCCATAGGAGAGAAATCAAAGCCATGGCATAACGTTTCGTTGAATGCGCGGAAAATTGCTTCATTTTCGCATACATTTTTGTCTGAGCAGAGCGATTACAGCTTTCGTAGCATATATTAAACGAACCATTTCACTGATCTTTATTTCAAGTGTTAAAGAACACACGTTGGAAAAATCAAGACAAATTAAATGTATTACTTTCATGGCAGTGATAAGGAAGCCAAATGAGATTACCCCGCAGGGAAGGCTAATTCAAATCAAAATTCTGAGATGTGCGAAGGATTCCGACAAAACTGGTACCACCGGTAAAATGTACGCGTCTGATGTGACAATCAGTAAAAAGCACACGAAGTTGGGATTTTTCCTTCCGGTAACTCTTCTTGCGTGACACTCGAGCGGCATGCAAATATTTTTGGCTGGATTCGACATCGCACCACATCTTTCAACTCAGCGATGTTTTGTCATTAACAATTGTGATCAACGGCACAATCATGATCAACCATACTCAATTATACTCAGTTATGTTCCACAACACACCATGACAATTCGCATTTACCAGCACTTGTATCAAATTGAAGGCAGAAGCCAGCTACTTCCATGAAATGCACAGAAATAAAGTGTCAAAAAATGTTTAGAATGGGTTTGTTGTGACTGTGGTGTAGAAAATGCAGTGCTGATATTAACAGGACAGCCACGTGCATGCTTTCTATCAAATTGTTGATGCGCGCCTGCGGTGCACGTAGTTTCCGTTAGATCGCATGTCATATTTTGTAGGCCATTTGAATATCATATGATGCCTTTTTTCGTCAATTTAAGTAATGAATGACCAATCCAACAGAGCTTGACTTAAATGCGTAAGATTGCGCATTATCATATGACATCATATCTGCTGCACACGGCCATGCGCTTCTTCGTCGCAGTCTGAGGCAAGATTTAATCCCGAGCCGTTGGATTCCCCTCCTCCACAAAAGTTAACAAACGCAGCCGAAACGTTATAAGGCACATTGGCCACAGGATTCAAATAAAGCTCAATGTTTCCTCTGAAAGTGCCTCGAAACGCGCAAAGGATGTCAAAAACAATACCACTGCTCAATAATGTCATGCATTTATTCCAATATCACCTTTCGTGACTGCTTTTAGAGCCACAGGTGACATCTTTCGACAAAAGAAGTCAGCGAAGGGGCAGATCATAGACATCGCCTTTCCTCGAGCCCGTTGGCTGCAATGCGTAAAATGCTCGCAAAAAGAATGTTCTTTTTTTTGCCGTGCAGACACCAAACATCGCGACTGAACCCAGGACGGTTGGTCATGCATGGGACTGGTCACAGCGACAAGCCATCTCTTAAGCGCATACCAGATGATAAACTCATCCATTCTGTGACGAACATTTCGCGTCTCTATGTGTGCAAATGGCCGAATTGGCGTGACTGGCCTTTGACGTTTTAATGATGTCAGCGTCAAGCAACGTGGAGTACAGACATAATTTCAACGTTTATTCAGTACACCTAAAAGACAAAGACGGTAGCTGACAGTAAGAATGTTCGGGCACCCAGCAATGCTTCACGCCTAAGAACGGTTTTGGTGTCAGTAACGGATATAACAATATGCGGTTGGGGTGTAAATGTTCAGGTGAATGTTGCCCTTGGCTATTAACAGCCATGAAACTTCGGATCAAAACACATGTCTCCCCATAACGCTCCTCAACTCCGCCCTTTTCCATACCAGGCCCACGACTTCGACCTTGTTTATACTAAAAAGGTAATTTTCAAATATGACCACCTGATATACACGACGTCGATAGTCGGAAAAGAAGGCTGTAACCGTATGCGAGACGGCTGAACACGTGATACATGCCCGCTACAGCATGCTCGCTTTTGATTGCCTGGTGCCTCACGTGCTAGTGCAGTACTGCTGTGAGCATACGTATGTGTCCTTAAATGTCCTTCATTACAAGCAGTTGCGGTTATCTCTGTTGGTAAGATCGCACTGCTTGGATGAAGGGTCAGCTCACGTTTTCGGAACGATGGATGCTTGTAGTAATATGCATAAACCTAAATAGCTCTGTAGCTTTGTGAACAAATGTGTTGCACATACTATCCGCCTCATGTGTGTAAAGCACCTTGCTAGTGCAGGTGCTGCAGCCTCGCCCGGGCCGCCTACACTCCACCAGTCACCCGGAGCCTGCAGCACACACAACTGGCAAGTGCTGCAGGTCACGCAAAGTCAATCAACGTGCAGGACTACATCCCAAACACAACGGGCAGCTTTGCCAAGCGTTTTTGATTCCTTATACACCGCGTTAGATGACTTCATCATTACCATCTATGACCATTCCAACTTTGTTTTCTTCTTACAAGCTAGTACCACAGTATTTCCCACTGCAACCGTCGCCGATTAAAATACACCACGGGTGTACGGCAGCGAACTGGAATGCCCTGCCTGCGCCAGTGGCAGCCGTGCGGGAGATGTAATCTCGAGCTCCGGAGAGAAGAAAAACACGATGTGCTGAGCTGCTCCCAAATGGTAACCGCGTAGCTTGGTCCTGCAAAAAGCGCGGGGTTCATCTGCTCATCTTATCCAGGTGTGAGTGTAGTTGGTCTCTCTAATGCAATTGTAAGAATAGCTGGTCCTGAGGGCTCACCAGACAGTTTCTAATATTCCTCAAAGCAGACACACTCCTTAAATGTCCTCTACCTCCCGCATCGCTCCGCGACCGGTCCCTGGCGGCTCGGCTGCATCACATCTCACCGAAACGTGCTCCATCCTGACGCAAAAAACGTTTTAAAGCGATCCCCTCCACGGGCGTCGGGCGTCGTCCTGAACGAAGCTGAGAAG